TGTGTGTGTTTCCTTCCCCCACGTGCTCCATGTTATGATTATTTCCTTATTTGGTCTTCCTGTTCCTGTCCTGATTGTGTTATCATTTGTTCCAGGTGTTCCACGTTCTGTTCCATTGTTCCCAGGTGTGTCCCATTAGTTTCAGTGTCTTTAAAGAGTTTTCTGCCCCTCGTTTCTCGTCCGGTATTGATCGTCAATTCCCGTGTCCTACGTGTGACTCCTGTGGTGTCAATGTCAAGACTGTGTATCCTGATTCTCCAGCGTTCTCCTCGTTCCTTGTTCCTTGCTCCTCACCGTAGGCGCAACGTGACAGACTCAGATTCGGACTGCAATTGTGAATTAACTTGGACTCGGACTTGGAGTTGGACATTTTGGACACAGACATTTTTCAGAGTACAGACGACTCCAAGTCATGTTTAAATATAAAATATTAAAAAATAAGTAACAACATAAAATTAAAATAAAAAGACATTAATAAACATCTCCCACTCAAACTCCATTGATTAAAAACTAGGTCTCGACACAGACTCGACAAGGTGAACATGGACCCAACACTACTCAATAGTACATCTCAAAATTGGGAAGATTGTGATTCAGATCGTGAATCGTGATTGTGTGTTATAAGAATGTGATATGATTTTTGGATATGACATCGCCCAACCCTAATTCTCACAGGCACTACTTGGTTCTTGTGGTTACAACAGGGTGTGGTGCATGCTGGACCCCTCATGTTTTATAAGGTTCTCTGAACCCTAGAGAAGGGTATGCTATCCAATTTTTAACTCAACTGGAGACTTTGTGTTGTGTTGTTCCAGCATCGAGACCTTGTTTTTGATCACCTTTGGAGACTAGGTTTGAGAATAAATCTTCTGGGGTTGGAACTGAACTCATGCATGATGCAAGAATGACTTTCTACTGTTCGTGTCCACTCGTTTCACCTCTGTCTGAATCAATCTAGAACAGAGCAAGACATTCCTGTAGGTTTATTTTGCAGACTTTGAGTCTCATCATAGAAGCTTCACCAGTGGTACAACTGGGCTTAATATGGGACTGTTTCAGTAATGGGTCAGCATCAGAGGAATTTGTCCCTGTTGGCATCCTTACCACTTACTTATTAAGTGTTATGCGCAGGTACTGTCATACCATGTTACAATGGACATGACCCCAGTTTTGAACTCAGGGTGTTTTGTTGGTCAGAGTCTGTCACCGGATGAGGATTATGACAGACCGTGTAGGATGGGCTACAGTTTTTTGGGTTTTTTTGCCTTTATTATACTGCACAGTGGAGAATAGACAGGAAGCAAATTAGGGACAGAGAGAGGAGGGCAGGATAAGGAAAGCACCACAAGCCAGGACAAAAAAAAAAACTCTTTTAGTGTTTGGCCGAATAAGCGAAAAGACAGAATAAATTGTACCGAACAATGACGTGACGTGACCAAATAGAGGCGCACAATAATGCAGCAAACATGTCGGCAGAGTGGAAGCATTTAAAACTGTCCAAGAAATATGCAAAAATTATTAAAATCACCGACAGCGAAAGAGTGCTTAGTGCTGCATCGCAGGTCTTCAATGAGAAGAGGAAGTGGTGGTTGTTGCTGGTTACTGTATGATGATTGAAATCATGAAATGGCCTTAAACAATTAATAAATAAACTGCAGAATGTTATGTTTTCTAATACACACATGAATTGCATGTATTCAAACAGTTTTGCACGAGCTCGCAACTCCAGGGTTCAAAGTCCAAAGCGCAAGGAAAATCTGCGCTGAAACAGAGTTACTCATCAGTTGTTCAGTAACATTTTTATGAATTTTTACAAGGCATGTGACAATGCGATACGTGCAACAAACATCTTCCCTAATTTGTAATGAGAATCATTTATAAATCTTCTGTTGTCAACAAAAAGAAACAATGAGACCTTCCTGCGGGTTTCTGCCAAAATAAAAGCTGAGAAAAAGCAAGAACTTCATCAACATTCATAAATGTTAGTATTGTAATTGTACTGTTGTTCTGTAAAATAAAACAAAGTAAGACAATAATAATGATAATAATAATTACAACAGATCTATTAATACATTTATTTTAACATTCACACATAGTGTTCAAATTAGGATCAATAATATTTTGAAATGTTTTAAAAGAAACATTTCAAATGATTTCATAATCCTTTTTTTTAGGATTACTGATAAACTAATGTAGTTTGATTTGTATTAGTTATCTATTTTAGTTTTAGTTACAGTTGTAGTAATGTTGTCATTTTATTAGTTTTTTATTATGTCTATATAGGTTTTTTATTAAGTTTTAGTTTTA